ACAGCTTTGAGGCAAGATGCAACAGGCTTAACCTTGCTTTCAACCCAGCCAAATCCAAAGTGGTTCACTTCAGCATCCGAAGAACCGAGCTGAACATTGAGCACCAAGGAGTCGAGATTAGGCAAGTAGATCAGATAAAATATCTAGGCAGAATAATTTCAGCGAACAACTCAGCCTCAGTGCACATCGAGCAAGCCATTTCGGAGTCAAACAGAACCTGTGCGTTCTTAAGACTACTCAGTGGGTGCCATTACGGTATCAGCCCAAAGAGAGGGCTCATAGTTTTCAAGGCCTTTGTCAGAAGTAGACTAGAATACGCTTGCTCGTCTTTCAGCAACTTGTCCAAATCCGCTCTAGCCAAAATCAAATCTCATTGCAACCACCACCTTAGAAAGTCACTAGGCTTAATCATCTGCACCCCAATCCCGATTATTTACCACATGGCAGGAGAACTTCCCCCGGAATACAGAATGAGATTCCTAGCGGCAAAAGAGTTAGCCAAGGCATTTGCGTACAGCCTCCCAGCGAGTAGGACAGTGTCCCTAAACAGGGACATAAACACGGGCTACGCCAAGGCATTTCGGGAGTTCGGTGATATTCTGGAGAGAATCGAGGTCTTTGAGAGTACAACTTCGCATTGCACCAAAATTAGGTCAGACTTAGACTTCTTTAAGGGGGCTGCTGAGAACAAGCATAGCTTAGACCAGGCAGGCATATTAGTTCTCCATAGGGAAAAAAGGGCATTACTGACAAGGGGAGGCTTCGAGATCTACTACACTGATGGATCAGTAGCTAACAGACACTCTAGCGCAGCTTTCCTACACGACAGCTCAGGTTTCATAGACAGCTTTTACACGCACAAAACCTTGTCATCACTGTCCGCCGAGTTGCTTGCAATTGAAAAGGCCTTGGACCATGCTATTTCCCGCGGGTTTTCTCGTATCGCCATCCTAACGGACAGCAGAAACGGGGCTCTAATACTGGCAAGGAGCATTCAGGATAATTTTATCGCTTATAAAATCAGGGAGAAGATCCGTCAAGCCCAATACCTAAGGAAGGTAGAAATTCATTTTATACCCGGCCACGCCAACATCCCTCAGAACACGGCAGTAGACTCAGCAGCCAAAGAAGCACACAGACTGGGAAAATATACAGTCGTTAAATGGAATCTTAAAGATGCAATATGTGAGATACACCGAATACTGAAAGAAGAATGGGAGAGAGAGTATGCAGAGTTTGCCAGCGTTAAACGCAGAGGATACTGCTCACTTTTTCCCACTACCTCAACAAAACCATGGTTCCTAAATAGAAATAATGTAAAAGCCATTGACGCTAAAAGGATCAATAGACTGCTTAGCGGCAGTGCATTTGATAGGCACACACTTGCCAAAATGCACGTAGTCGCAAGTAACATTTGTGATACCTGCGATACTATCGATGACGCATCGCATATAATTTTTAATTGTACCAAGTACAACGCAACAAGACTAAACTACCCATCGCTAAGGAAATATAATAATATCTATAAATTCTTCGAAAAAGAACAAATCAGCTCGTACCAAACTTTAATCGAGTTCATCGACAAAATTGGAGTAAAACTGTAACAAGTTACATATCTCGACGTGGCGATTTCCACCTTGCAAAGGCGGGCGGCCAAATAATCCCCCTCTACCCAAGGGTAGAGCGGTAACATAAATCCCCAAAAAAAAAAAAAAAAAAAAACTTGTATTTAATTTGTTTAAACAAAAAAGCATGTCCGACGAGTACGCGTGTGTGGCCAAGGGCAAGCTAAAGCTAAAGAGCGACACAGAACTGAAGAAGAAAAAGAAGAAGCACAAGGGCAAGGACAAGGAGAGGGAACGCGAGGCGCTGCAAAAGTCATATGTGGAGCAGCAGCTGCTGGAGACGCCGAGCAGCAGCAGCACATCCTCATCGGCAGCAGTGGGCAGTGGATACGAACGGAAGCTAACCAAAGCGGAGCTGGCCAGCAAGAAGCAGCAGGAGAAGATGCGCAACAAACGGATAATGGACAAGGCACAGACGACGCACAAGGAGCGGGTGGAGAAGTTCAACGAACATTTGGACTCCCTCACCGAGCACTTTGACATACCAAAAGTGTCCTGGACAAAATAAAACGACACACAGAATGCTTTTTGTGTTATTGTAACTTAATTGTAAGGTTTATTATTATGTATTATTATTAGGTTTACCAATAGAAAGCGTTAAGTAATTTCCTTTACAATATGTGTGTGCGTGGGGGGGCGACCAATCGGGGATGGCACAACTAAACCTAAAAACACATTCCGTCCGTCCGTCATCTATGTGGTAGCTACACGATAATCATATACAAATCAACTTGAAGAGGATTTTTCTGTTTTAGTTTCCAACTTTCAGTCCAAAGTAAGTGTGGGTCCTTCCTTGAAGGACAACTTAGCGCGGCGATATCAACTCAAACATGGCATACTTCCAGGTCCATGAACGCACCAGCTGCTCGAAACGCTCGCGTTCGTGCTCGTAAATGTATCCCACTTCGGGCTCCATGCACACCTCGGTGTATGGATCGGTGAGCAGACTCTGCACCGACAGCAGAACCTTCGCCACATTCAGCGCCAGCGACCAGTTTTGCTGCTGGAATATGTCAATGCCCACATCGCCATGCCGCGACACATTTGGATGTAGAATTTTGGTGAGGAAACGCACCGTGGGCGGCGCCATGGGGTAGCGATCGGGAAAGTAAATGAACAAAAAGAATTTTCCGCCCTCGTAGGGACTGCCCGGTGGGCCCAGTATCGTGGCCTGCCAGTAGTTATTCTGTCGATCCAAGGGTATGGCTGAGATGCCCTCCGACTCGTAGCTGTTCAGCAGATTGGCCTCGCCGCGCAGAAAGATATTCCGTATGGGATTCTCCTGCTCATCGTCGTGCGGCGACTGACCGCGGCCGCCCATCTCGATCAGGCAGGTGCGACAGAAGCAGGAGGACATCAGTGCCCCATACAGCTTGTACCAGTTGGGCGTGTCCGCGAGACTCTCGAACAGAGGCCAGCGCTGCTTGATGTATGCCTTCCACATGCTTTGGGCCGTGTTCTTGCCGATGATGTCGTGCCACTGCTTGCACACCTCGCTGGACATCCACAGCGACATGTCATCCAAATAGGCGAAGATTTTCAGCAAAATCTCTACCGGTATGCGATTGATAATGCTCTTATTGTCCGCTGCATTGCTGCCGCCAGCGCCATTGGCATTGTGGTACTCATGCAAGCGCAGCCGGCCGTCGGCCAGCTCGTTCATGTAGTGCGGCAGCCCCAGCGGCGCCATGGGACGTGGCCGCTTGATGGGCAACAAAAATGGATTCACGGCACGCTCATTGTCGAAGTCGCGCTCGGGTGTTTCACGGCGTGCAGGTGGCACCACATCTGGCAACTGTTGTGGCTGTTCCAGCTGAGGGAGCGCCTCCGCGTCAGGCAGCGCTGGCTGTGCTTGTGGCTGTGGTGCGGGTGGCTCTGCGTCTTCCAGATCTTCAAAGCCCATTATGTCCACATCGTTTTCAGTTTCTTCATCCTCCTGCTTGTCCTTGAACGGTGGCTCATCGTTGCCCGAGTCCTCGTCATCCGACAGTTCTGTGAGCATCTCCTCGGCCAGTTGTGCGTTGTAGAGAAAGGCGTGACACGCCCCGCACAGGGGCTCACCAAAGTTGGGGCCATAATAGCCATTGCACACCCAGCAGGTGTGGCTATTCTGTGTACGTTGAATTATAAACAATTAGTTGACGAAATCCCCGGCGTTCCCTTCGTTGTATACACACCGAAAAGGAGAATGTGGGCTCCGTCAGTTGTTCGTCTTTCGCATTGTCTGCATCTTCGCCTGCTGCGTCGTCCATTTCGTCATCGCTGGCGTTGAGCTCTTCCAGCAACTGCTCCTGGTCCTTTTGCTGCTGCGCTGACACGCAGCTAGTCATTTTTTTCGGTGCGGCGCACAAAAATTGTTGTAAAAAAAGAATTTCGAGATATCAAGAGTATTAGCGATGGCAGCTCAGCGATATACGCGACACAAGCAGTGCGCATCGATAACTGTGTACTGCGTATCGATAAGCAAAACAAATCAGCTGCAACGCCACACGTGCAATATTTATGTTAACATTTGCACAAAGATGAAGCCAAAAAAGAAGTTGGGTATGTTTATTAACAATACACAGGCACTGATAACAATAAGCTACGTTTTTGCCTTTGACAGGTGTTGGTCTGAGTCGTGAGGAGCGACAGGTGCTTGTTATCGGGGAGATAATTCAAGAGCTGCTCGCCGCACACGAAGCCAAGAAGGATGTCAATTTGAATCGCATGAAGTCACTGGTGGCGTCCAAATATGGCCTGGACAGCTCGCCACGATTGGTGGACATTATAGCGGCTGTGCCGCAGGATGCCAAAAAGATACTTTTGCCCAAGCTGCGGGCCAAGCCCATACGCACAGCGAGCGGCGTTAGTTGGAAGTCTTTGCCCACTTTTGAATCGATTTAAATTAAAGTTTTCTTATAGATTGCTGTCGTCGCTGTCATGTGCAAGCCACATCGTTGTCCACACATTAATATGACGGGTAATATATGCGTCTATTGTCCTGGCGGACCAGACAGCGACTTTGAATACTCCACGCAGTCGTACACGGGCTATGAGCCCACCTCCATGAGGGCTATACGCGCACGCTACGATCCCTTTGTGCAGACGCGACATCGCGTGGAACAGTTGAAGCAACTGGGGCATAGTGTGGACAAAGTGGAGTTTATTGTGATGGGCGGCACCTTCATGTGTTTGTCGGAGGAATATCGAGATTATTTCATACGCAACCTGCACGATGCGTTGTCCGGTCACAGCAGCGCAAATGTGGCTGAAGCTGTGCGCTACTCGGAGAAATCTCGCACCAAGTGCATTGGCATTACGATTGAAACACGTCCGGATTACTGCCTTAAGCGGCATCTCTCGGATATGCTGAATTATGGCTGCACTCGGCTGGAAATTGGCGTTCAATCTGTGTACGAGGATGTGGCCAGAGACACGAATCGCGGGCACACGGTGCGCGCTGTGTGCGAGAGCTTCCAACTGGGCAAAGATGCTGGCTACAAGATTGTGGCACACATGATGCCCGATCTGCCGAATGTGGATTTTGAGCGTGACATTGAGCAGTTCATAGAATACTTTGAGAATCCAGCTTTTCGCTCAGATGGACTGAAGATCTATCCCACGTTGGTCATACGCGGCACGGGCCTCTATGAGCTGTGGAAGACGGGTCGCTACAAGTCGTATCCGCCTTCCATGCTGGTGGATTTGGTGGCCAAAATCTTAGCGCTAGTGCCGCCATGGACGCGGGTTTATCGCGTGCAGCGTGACATTCCCATGCCGTTGGTTAGGTGAGCGAAAAACACTCCATTTTAAAACACTTTTCACATGCGTTTCCCTCGCCCCTTTGCAGCTCTGGTGTGGAGCATGGCAATCTGCGTGAGCTGGCCCTCGCGCGCATGAAGGATCTGGGCACCACCTGCCGCGACGTGCGCACCCGCGAGGTTGGCATCCAGGAGATACACAACAAAGTGCGACCCTACGACATAGAGCTCATCCGTCGCGACTATGTGGCCAATGGTGGCTGGGAGACGTTCCTCTCGTATGAGGATCCCGAACAGGACATACTCGTGGGTCTGCTGCGTCTGCGCAAGTGTTCGCCGGACACCTTCCGGCCTGAGCTCAAGGGGGAGTGTTCCATTGTGCGTGAGCTGCATGTCTATGGCTCTGTGGTGCCGGTCAATGCGCGCGATCCCACCAAGTTTCAGCATCAGGGGTTTGGCATTCTGCTGATGGAGGAAGCGGAACGCATAGCCATCGAGGAGCATGGCAGCCGCAAGCTGGCTGTAATCTCGGGCGTGGGCACGCGCAATTATTACAGAAAGCTCGGCTACACGCTGGATGGGCCCTACATGTCGAAGATGCTGTCGGAATGAGTTTGTTTAAATATTTTATCACGCCGTAGGAGCTGTAGGATTTTCGCTACTTAACGCTAATTCTGGGCCTTAAAATATATACACATAAAATATACATAAATTAAAGTATGTTCGGTGCTTAAACAATCGCCTCAGCGGAGCCAAACACCAGAAATATAATCCAACCCACGAGATTGATGCCCGCAGCAGCGCTGAACACCATTGGCCAGCTTTGTGTCAGCTCCAGTATGTGCCCCGCGAGGTACACACCAAGGAATCCCGGTATAGCGCCCACTGTGTTCATCAGTCCGAAGACGCTGCCGGAGTGTAGCGGTGCCAAGTCCTGTGGGTTCACCGTCACCGCATTATTATGGAAGCCCGTGCCGCCTATGATGATCGTCATACAGATGAGTGCCGTGTGGAAATCCGTGGTGCGACTCATCACGAATAGCGCCAGGTTCTGGGCGGCAAAGCAGCAGCTTTGAATGAACTTGCGCACCGTCGTGGTGTGCCAGTCGCGTGCCAGCAGACGCGTCGTCAAGTATTTGGCAAAAAGTGTGCATGGTGGCAGGGCTAGCCAGGGTATCATGTTCACCACCCAGCCCTTGGCGTGTGGGAAACCATCGTGGAAGTATGTGGGCAGCCAGGAGAGCAGCACAAAGAAGCAATTCATCTCGCAGGCATGCGTCAGGACACAAGCCCAAAAGGACAAGCGACTGAAGTAGCGCAGCCAGGGCACAGCAGTCTCCGCGGGCGTACGATTCGCGCACAGTCGCGAGGGTGTGGCTATGTTGATGATGCGATTGCGCTCCCCGGCCATGGCATAGTAGCGCAGGACCAAGGCCCAGGCAATGCCCATGAGGCCAATGACACGGAAGACATACGACCAGCCGAAGTAATCGAGCAGAAAGGATCCCATAATGCCGGTGAGTAGGGTGCCGAGAGCCGAGCCAGCAGTGAGCAAGCCAAAGAAGCTGCTGCGTTCGTTTGGGCAGAGGTTCTGCAAGAGGAAGACTTAGAATCAAAGCAGCAAAGGAATGTCGCCCACTCACCTGACTCGTCAAACTGATCATGCTGGGAAAGTGCACACCCTGAAAGGCTCCATTCAGTATCCTAATGGCCACAATAAATGGAATGGCATAGCTCTTGATGGAACCCACCGACCAGATAATCGTGGGCATCAGGAATGTGATGAGTGACCAGCCAATGGCAGCAAATAGTATGACCCTTTGGCCACCGAAACGATCGCTAAAGTAACCGCCCACCACCTGTGTCAGGGTGTAGCCCCAAAAGAAGGAACTCAGCACGGTGCCCGAATCGGTTTTGCTCCATTTTTGTGCTGCTGCCACTGCCGGCACCAGCAGTGGCATGGTTGTACGTGTCGAATAGAGCATACATGTGCCCGTTATCAGTGTGATGAACCAAATGCGTTTCTCGTGCCTGAAAAAAAGGGGAGAAGGGCAGAACCATTCAGTTTTTGTTGGAATTGAGTGGATGGTCAGTAGCGTTACCTTGTCCATATGCTTTGTGTGTCCACCAGCTCACCACGCAGCAGCGAATACTTGAGTTTCTCATCCATGGTGTCTAATAAACTGAAAATGTGTGCTACGTACGTGCGCTATGCTGAGAACTCTTCTTGCACGTCACACATTTCCCCAGCTGCCGCTTGCTGCTGTGGCATGTTCTGTTGTTGGGTCGAGCAAGCAGCGTTGTTTACTTTCTATGGGAAACACTTTCTATAATTTTGTATTTTTACGTGGCTATTTTTCACGGAACCACCAGCTGGTTTTTGGCAAAAGAATGAATCTTGGCCCTGGCTGGTCGACCCATTAATGCGCTACGCTTCTTCGCTGTGGTTTGCGACTCATATTAGTAGCAAATAAAAGCGTTCCTTTGTTATTGTACAACCAACAATTGTTTAAAATAAATTAAAGATTCATTTGTGTACTTTTTGCTCAGATTTGTCAACCAAACAATTGTATTTGCAAACAAGAACCCACAGAAAGAACGGAAATACCTCATTGTAGGGTGCACATGATAGTGTGGCCATACTCTGTCGCTGCCGGATGCTCAAGCGCGAGTTTCAAACGGCCACCTGACTGAGAAAATTAAAATTTGCAGTGAAATTTCTTAATAAAATTAATATTTATGGTATATGTAAATATGGTTTGAATTGAAAAATTGTATAAAGACCTAACTAAATAAAACTTAAAACTAACATCAGATTCTATTTCTTTGTCAGTGCATCGTCATCCGTGGGATCACAGTCCGCACAGTGCCAGGAATAGCCGCGAATTTTCGGAGATTTCTTCAGCGGCGGATCGAGGCAGGCAAAGTGATAATGCTTGTGGCACTCGTCACAGGTCACCACCTGATTGGTTTTACCAGTTTTGGTGCACACGAAGCAGTTGATTTCCACCACGGGCTTGGGGTTGGACAATCGCGGGCGGCCCACTCGAGGCGTTGCCTTCCGTGGACTAACCTTCCGCTTGGGCGATGGATTCTCGGGTGGGATTGTCACTGCTGCTGCTGCTACTACTGCAGGTGTTTCCTTACTTTCCTTTAGTTTTTGCGGCGACAACGCCACAGCGGGCATCACAACGGGCACCAGGATCTGCTCTGGCGGCGCCACAATATCCTCGACTGTCTCCACGGACGTTGGCCGCGATGCCTCATCCACGGATCGCACTGCATTGGCGGGCACATAGAAATACTGAGATTCCGGCGCATCCTCCCCGGGCAGTCGCATCGTTTTCAGTATAATTTTGATGGTGTTTCGCGCGGCATTGGCCGGATTCTCGTTGAGATGTGCGCGCTTTTTTCGCTTTCGCTTGTGCTCCTTGCTGAAGGATTTTTCCGTGTCCGAGGAGAGATTGTGCTTGTTTTTATGCTTGTCCTTGCGCTTGCCCTTGCGCGATAGTTTGCCGCTTAGCTCGTCCACGGAATCCTCACAGCCGGAAAGCAGCGGGGTGATGGGTGTAACCAGAGCTAGCGCAGATGCGGCTGCGGAAGTGGAAGCCACGGGCACTGAGGGAAGGAAAGAAGAGAGTGAAAATTTCGGCCATCTGAGAACTGTCTCGAAATTCCGTACCATTTATTGGAGTTTTCCGCGGCGATTGCTGCCTTGGTCGCTTCGGCGACATTGTCAGATCCACGTAGATATCCGGACCCACAGAAACTGGCAGGGATTTGTTCATCGCTCGCTTGGCGGACATTTCCCTTGCAAACGCTGCCGCTGGTGCTGGCACATCGTCCAGGGAATACCGATCCACGTACACCAAGCTGCCATCCTTGTTGAAGCGCGTGCGAGACTTGCGCGGACCCGAGGAGATCTCTGTCACCGCATCCGAACCATCCGACTTTTCGCAGCACTCGGAGCACTGCCAGCCATACTGCTTGGATTTCTTGGGCGGACGGGTAAGCGGCGGGTTGAGGCAACCCAAATGGTAGTGCAGATTGCAGGTGTCGCACTTGACGAGCAAATGTTGATCGTTATTCCGCTTGCAAATGCCGCAGGCCATGGCAGGCGCTATGGCGGGTGTGCCGCTGCTTCGTCCCTGCTTTGCCTGGGTGCTGAGCATCCGTGAGGAGTCCAACTTGGTGCCGGGTGGACCGAGGTGTGCGAGCGGAAAGCCCACGCCCATTTTAAGCGCAGCTGCTGTGGGCACGGAGATGGGACGCTGTGGCGGCGTGGGCGTGCTGGTCTTGGCCGGCGCTTCAGGCAGCGGGCGAGCAATGAGCTCCACATTGGGCAGCGTGAGGAAGGGTGCCACATGCGAGAGATTCCCATGAAGCGTGCGAATGGTGGCCAGCAGCGTTTCACGCTGTGACTTCTCCGCCTTGCGCTCCTCTAGCGAGGAGTCGTACTGCGCGCGCAGACTGTCCTGATCCTTGGACAGAATGGCATTGTGGCTGATGAGTAGCTGCTGCTGCTGTCGGAAGTCCTCCATGCGCACAATACGATCCATGTAGTAGGCGGTGAACTCCACGCTAAACGCTGGCGATATGTGCCACTTCTTTCGGATGTCCGTCAGCGCATTTATGTGCGCCTCACGCTGCTCCATGTGCTGCACATCGACGGACATGATCTCGGCCTTGGCCAGCAGCCGACGGCAGGCAGAGGCCGAGGTAGTCAACAGTCGCGACATTTTCTGCGTGGGCACCCAAGGCGCTGGCTTGAGTTCCTTGTGCAGCGCGTACTTCAGTTGGATCTTGAGCAACTTCCGCTGTATCCTCGCCTGTGCGGGATTCGTGTTGGGCTCATCCACGGGCTGCTGTTGCTGCTGCTCCTTCTCCTTGGCCTTCTGCAGCATGTTCAAGCGGAGAGTGTGATAATTCCGTCGTCGCTTCTTGATCATTTCCTTCTCCGAATGCACCTTGCAGTGCGCGTAAAACGGATCTGCGGCATCATCCTCGTGATGGGCTTCGATGAGGAAACCCGCCACCTGTGCGCACGTCACATGGAAGTAAGTCTTGCACATGCCCGCATCGCAGCCAATGCAGACGCCGGTCCGAGCGAAGAGTGAGTTCTCACAGAGGGAACACACTTTGGCGCCCCACTTGCTGTACTGCATCTCGAAGAGCGTCACCGAGGAGAGCTGCTCCACCTCACCGAATGCCACACCGGGCACATACAGCGCGCAGATCAGATGCACCCACTTGCCCACGTCCGTCTCCTTGTAGATGCCACCCTTGTTCGGGCACAGCTCGCAATCTGGCTCGGAGACGCCCGCGCGGCATGCCTCACAGAACCACGGCTCCGTGGAGCAAGTGGAATTTGTGCTGGATATGCTCACATTATCGCTGACGCCGTAGCAGCCTTCGTGCACGGACACTCCGCACGCATCGCACTCGACAATCTCGTTGACGTCGTCACTGCGTTCACCCAGACACACGCAGCACATACGCTTCGCCGGCGCACTGGACAGCTGCACCGAACGTATCGATATGGTCGCAGCACCGCCAGCCACTGGCGGCCCGTAATCGCCTCCATTGATGCCATTTTGCAGTGGTGCCGCTTGGACCTCACTATCCGCCAGCAACTGCTGCAGCTGCAGCGTGGAATCATCACTATCCGCCTCGGAGTCATTCGCATTGGAGTCCGACTCGCTGCTGCTGGCATCGCTGCTGTCACCCTCCCCGTCGCTCTCGTCCTTGCAGCCATCGATGTCTGGGCAAAAGTCGCTGTCCGATGAGCTCTCGCCCAGATCCAAGTCGAGCAGGGCCTGCGTTGATATCTTTGGCTGCCGCGCCCGCTTGAAGGGTGCCATTTTTGAATGGCAACCAAGTCGAGTCGTCTCTTTTGTTCGATTCTCTTTCAACTTAACCCCTATAAAGCTTATGGGTTTTTTCGCTTTTTCACAATCATGAGTGTAGTGTGACCGCTCTCTTTTTGAACAAATTTACCGTTCGAGGCATAGCAATATACCGTGGTAAATCTTCTTATTTCAAACTATACCATAATTATATGGTGATTATACAATTTATAATATATTATTAAACTTAACATAGCTTAATAATATAAAAAAATGTAGTTACCTTTATTACAAAAAAAAATATATCTCTCATAGCAGCTGAACTGTTCTCAAATACCCACTGGTTGACAATGGGTTAAACGATCTTAGAACATGATCTAATCATATTTCTCAATTTTAATATTCCTTTGTTTATTAATTGTTAGCTAAAACTCTAAGCATTGCACACATAATTTTGTACGCTTGATGAATCAATTTTCTACAGTAATAGCAGTTCAAAGTTAAGATTTTTAATGTATTTTCGATGAAATAGGGACTTAAGCAAAATGGTCAACAGCAAATACAAGCATAAAACGTGTTTTTTCAATCAACATTTACGCAAGCGTAAAGAATGAACGTCTAAATATTTTCTTTAGTTTTATTCTTGTCATTTCGCAGGTATTATACCTAAACTAATATAAAAGCTTCATATTTTATGCTCTAAAAATGCCCTAAAACACCTCCAACTGCTCAATGGGCAGCCACTTGGAGCTCTCCAATGCATCATACAGACGACGGTCAGCATCGATGGCCTCCCGATTCATCTTGTCAACGTCTAGCACAAATTTATGTTCCACTAAACCGAAATCATCGTCTGTGCCACCATTGGAGGCGGCTGTCTGCTGCTGCTGCTGCTGCTCGTACTGAGCGCTGCGCTGGGCGCTCCAGGCCTCCGCGTGCTGGGCCAGCGTTGTGGGGTTCGAGTGGGACTGTGACATGGCCTGTTGGTAGTAGGCGGCAGCATCGGTAATGGAGGGACCCGCCTGCTCGTAGTAACCCTGCCAGGCGTTGTAGCCCTGCCAATACGTGCTGGTGGGATCGTAATACTGTGAATAGTCCGCACCGGCGGCAGGCGAGGATGAAGCTCCTCCTGCAGAGCCAGTGTAGCCGTAGCTGGTGTTGCCACTGACGCCGAGAGCAGTGTTCAGCTCGGATTTTGGCTTTGGCACAGCATTGCAGATCTTGATGGGCTTCGTACCCAAGCCAATGTATCCATTCATGTCGTAAAGCGCCGACTTTTGCTCATCCTCGATGCCAAAGCGCACAAAGCCGTAGCCCTTTGAGAATCCCAAGCTGTCCAAAATCACTTTGGCCGTCTTGATGGATGTGAACTTGCTGGAGAAGATCTTGTACAGCTGATAGTCGTCCACATCGGAGCTGAGGTCGCCCACCCAAACGCTGAACTCGCGCTCATTGCCCGGCAGCTTGTACGAATTGCTGGCGGAGTTCAGGCGGAAGCGCACAATGGGATTGGTGCCGGGTATGGGTTTGCCATTCAGCTTGTGCATGGCATCCAGTGCATGATCGTCCGATATAAAGTTGACGAAACAGTAGCCGGCTGGCTCTCCTGTGTACTTGTTTCGCATCAAACGCACTGTGGTCGGATCTTCGCCCATTTTGCGGAAGGCCGCAATTATGAAGTTCTCCGTCATGTAGGACTCCAGCTGTGAATTGTGAATCTGTTAGCAGAGCCTTAGATAATATTTTATGCTTCTTACACTGCCCATCCATAGCTGGCAATGCACGGACGCCATTATTGTAGTCACAAAAATAAAATTGTCGGGAGCCGAGAAAATAAAAACAATAGTGATGGTAGCTGTATGAAGTGCTGCTATCGATTAAACAAACATTGAAGTATCTATAAATCGATGTATATATATATATATTCTTTGTTGATTTCTGAACTGTTGCTTGGATAAATATTTATTACGGATTTATTTATTTATAGCAAATGTAAACTACTTTTCTGTTTTTAAATGTCTAAAATTATTTATTCGTATGTTTTTTATTTTAGCCAAACGCTTATCGGTACTTTTGTGCGATAGCCAAAACCTATCGCCGCTTGACCTTCACCGTTTGCGTGCGATTTGGTTAATTTAATTCAAAACATTTAGAAAAATGCGTCTAACGTTGACCCGGCTTGCCAGCCTCACGCCCAAACTTAAGGAGCTGCGCATCGTGCTAGATCCAGCTGGTGATGCCTCCAAAGGAGCCAGGTAAGGCGTTGCTATTTATAGTAATTACATAATATAGAAAAAGGAAAAACCAATAATTTCAGGGAATTTGTGCAGAAATTCTATCCAAATTTGAAGAAGGCCAATCCCGATTTGCCAATACTGGTGCGGGAATGCTCCGGCGCACAGCCAAGACTATGGGCTCGTTATGGTAATTATATAAAAAGCTTCCAAGAGTTGCCCAAACTTAAATCAGTAAATATTTTCCCACCCGCAGGCAAAGGCAAGGAAATTTCCGTGTCGCTGAGTAACCGCGAGGCGCCCGACATCCAAAAACAACTGGAAGCGGTGGGCAAGTAAACGGTGAAGCCAAAAATACTCATCTAGCGGGGAGAGTAACCAATTTTAGGCGTTATTAAAAGTACAAAAGACAAACCCAACATTTTCCGCTGGCAACTTGTTGTTATTTTTAGTTGGAAAATCGTAGGATTACAATTTGTAGGATTAAATCCCTAAGCTCAATCGCTAAATGGTGGCAGTCCGAACTGCTCCGGCTTGAAATCCTCCAGGGAACGCAGCACCTGTGTGGCATGGGCGCAACGCTCCTCGGACAGCCGTGGATCGGGCACCATGACCACCTGCATGCCGGCGCTCTCACCCGCCGTCACGCCATTGGGAGAATCCTCAAAGACCAAACATTTGCTGGGATCTGGTGTATCGCTGAACCTACCAGCGGCAACCAAAAAGATATCCGGCGCTGGCTTGCCGTTCTTCACCTCAGCGTCCGTGGAGCCGCACACTTTGTGGTGGAACAGATTGAAGAGTTCCTTGTGGTGTGTGGATTTCAGCTCCACCATGTCCGCACCCGAGCTGGTGGCCAGCGCAAAAGGCACTTTATTGGCATGCAAATGACGCAAAAGGCGTGCGGCACCTGCAAGACATAGAGGAAAGGCAATAAGGAACGGCTTCAGGCAAACATTTCGTATGAAAATCGCGCGCAAGGAAGTGCTTTTGTTACTGGCGGTGCTAACCTTCCAGAAGCCGCACGTTGTCTAGTCGCTTGTGGCACATGTCCGAGTAGCGCTTGAGGAAATCATTCAATGTTATGGGCAGCTGACATTCGCTGATGACAATCTCCGCGAAGCGTGGCTCTGTGGTGCCCATGGCCCGAAAGCGCGTTGCCACCGAATACGAACGGCCAAAGGATGCGGCTATTTGTCTAGTGATCTCCTCGTAAATACGCTCAGTGTCTGAAATGTGGGAATAGCAAAACGTTCAATTAATACCTGGCATCAATTGTGCATTTCCCATGAGGGTCAGCGCATTGTCGCGCTGCTGTTTGGCGTACTCCTCCCAGGTGATGGGCAGCTCATAAGATTTCACCATAAATTCGGCCACCTGCCGCGTCTGCAGGCCCATCAGCTGTTCCTTGACATCGAATGTGAACGTTTTGCCATACGGATCGAGTACCTGCTGTGCGGCATCCGTGTACAGCCGCTCGGTGTCTGATGGCAAGAGACGGGACGCTAAATTCAAACACAATCACAAAACGCACACGACACTTACCCAGCAACAGGCCGTCCATGTCGAAGATGCAGTGGGTGACATTCCGTAAAACCTTTTTTGCCATTTTGCTCTGCTCCCCTCCAGTTCCGGCTCTTATGTAATTATTGATGAAATACGTCTAAAGGAGCTGCAACACAAGCACACACAAATTACAACGTAATTTCGCCACTCAGCCATATAAACTCTTCCGCCAGCATAGTCCCTCCTCTCTTCCCTTGTCAAGGTCTTTCGCACATATTTTTTTTATTACTTTTTATGCTTTTGCGTGTCCTTGACCCAAGGACGTTCGTTCCACTGCCCAAATTATGATTAAACCCCGTGCAACAGCCTTGACCTACACGTAATGTTTGATTTCCCGAATTTTGTTGGGGCCTGCGTCGTCAACCGCTTCACAACGCTTTCTGTTGCGCCCCAAAATGATGGCTGTTAGCGTTTTAACTGTAAAAAATATATCGAAAAAGCCCCACCACTCGCTAAAAAGCGACGAGTGTGTCTAAAACTTTTCCACTAGGCAAACACACACATACACATGCATGCACGAGAGTTTGTATTGAATTTCCAGTGTGACATCTAACGGTACCGTGGCATAATAACACCTTTACCCTCCCACACCAACCACTACACAAAATTTTGTTTTTCTTTTAAATTTATTAAAAAACAAATACATTTTAGATGTTCGAATGTAATCCGTTTGCTTTTTTCTGACGAAGAGGAATCTGCAATACAAATTTAACATGATAAATGGGAACACTTGATGGAGGAGCTAGACCTCTTATGGCAATGAAACGCACCTTAACTTAGGCGCTCAGCAAGCACACACCACCGGCCTTCTTGATTTTGTCTTCAGCTTTCTTGGAGAAGTACTTGGCCTTCACAATGACGGGGCGGGCGGGCAGATGTCCACGACCCAGCAGCTTGTAGTAGCCCTGCGTGTGAAGAAATTAAATATAAATTAATACAGTTTTCAACAAACAATCCAAGAGAACGATTTGCATGTTTTTGTAGCTATTTCCTTGATCTGTAAGGCTTCCTCTACATGGTGAGAGCAATTGTACGAAAGCATTCAGTCCGCCCATCGCCTTGGGTGTATCTTCATGTTCAAAGAAACAGCAAAAACAGCCACAAACAAGAGGAGAACTTACGAATTTCACCAAATCGATGACGGGAGCCTTTGTGCTCTTCTCCTTCTCCAGCTCGGCGAATTTCTCAGGTCCGACCAGGGACCATAGTTTGTCCAGGTTGATTTCGGGCCTGAACTTGTGCTGGCGGCGCAAGTGGAAGTTCCTCATACCGACCTTGCCAAAGTAGCCAGGATGGTATTTGTCGAAGTTGATGCGGTGGTGGTGCATGCCACCAGCGTTACCGCGACCTCCGGGATGCTTGCGGTGCTTGCCGATACGACCATGACCGTGGCTGACGTGACCACGCAGCTTTCTGGTCTTCTTCCGCTTGATATTTGACTGCAATTGGGTGAGAAAATCGCTTTTAATTCACGTTTTCCTGCACGTGTGACAGCCAAGCGACTGCGGCCATTGGCACGTGTGGAGGTTATGTTGCCACGCCGCGGTCGCTTTTGCCGTTTTGCTCACTTTCACATTCTGCTATTGCACAGTTTTTGCTTAAACTGTGTGCGTTTAAACAGCAGTACAGTTAATCAATTATAGCCATCGGCAATGTGTGTTTATTTTGCCATTTAATTTAATTCAAACTGCACAACGTTCACCGACGTGCACTCACCATCTTCAGAGTTTTGGAAAGAAAGAAGTGAGTGAGGTTGGCTGCGCTTGAACATGACAGGCTGGAAATCGTATATCGAAAATGTGCTGTTGGGCGCACTTTCAGTAAACAGAGGGCTGTTGTGCGCAATGTTTTGCCTTAAGTGCTGTTAGGCGCATTAATGTTCTTGAAATATTTAATACAATTTTGTTTTTGTCTGGTTAAAAATTCATTTATGACATTTTAAATTTCATCCACTAAGCGAAAGCGCTGATGCTGCTTCTCGGGAATAACATTGAAAAACTTCTTATAGATGGTTTGGTCCTGTCGTCCCGCATAGTTTCTCTGCACCCAAGAATGATCCCAATTTGGATCAATTGTCTCGCAGGTCACGTACACTTTGCCGTGTTCCATGGCAAACAACGTGCCATTGCGACCAAAGCCAACATTCAGGCCGGGATGGAAGCGCGTTGTCAGCTGTGTGGCCAATATTGTGCCTTGCGAGACAATGTGTCCGTCCATCACACGCCATCCGCGATGCTTTGGTCTGGGATGCCCTTTCTTGTTCCGGGTGCTGCCGCCGGTCTTCTTGCTGGCATTACGTATGGTGGCTGCAGGGAGAACATTTCATTTAGATCCAGTTAACAGTTTTTGTCGGGTGTAAACATACTTATCAGTGGCTGATCCGCTTTGAGACACTGTAGCGACAGTTTCTGCATTATGGTAAACGACATTTCGTAGTTTTTATTTGATTAAATAGCGACAGAAACGCGGATTTGTGTTTTGTTTATATAAATCCAACTTCAGTGTTGCCACACTCACGAAACGAGAAAAATAGAGAGAATCACAGATTTAAGTGTCCGAAAACTTGTTCCAAATCATGCTGCTTATATTCTAAAAACTTAAAACATTGTATTTTGTGTTAGATGGCCTGAAAATAAGGAAATATTGAATTATTTAAAGAGAATTGTAATTGAAAAAGTGCTGTTAGGCGCACTCAACCCTCTGTTAATAACCAGCTCTTTGTATTGGTTTTACCCTAAATATATTAGAGCAACACTCGCCGACGAAGAAAATTAATTTTTGTTGTTGTGTCCGGCATTTAGAATTAAGTTTAAAGTTAAATACATATAAGCATGTCGCCGTGGGGCAACATTTGTCGCATTTGCAGCAGCCCCGCAGACTATGAGATATTTGCCAAGATACCAACGTACTTGCATGGCACAACAAATGAATTTCTCAACTGGCAGAAGCCGATAAACATATTGCTGGAGGAGACAACGGGTTTGAAAGTAAGGCAAGCAGAAAATTTAAGAAGTTTTTAGTGTAAAGTGTTCTCATATATCTCTGCTAGAACTCTACTGACGATGGACTGCCGCGTAATATCTGCGCTCCCTGCATTTCGTATCTAAAACATGCGGTCACATTCCGTGAGCAATGCATTAAAAATGCACTCAGCCTTAAGCTGGCGGCGCTCTACCAACAAAAGTCGGTAAACATAACGGAAAAGAGTAAAAAGGACAAGGAGAGTGCACTATTTACGGCCGAGGATCTCAGCTATGTGGAGCAGCGACCGGTGCACAATTTGCTGCTGAATAACACCGTCAAGCTGGAGGGCAACAAGGACAAAGTGCACAAGCAATTGCTCAATCAGCATGTGCCGCAGCTGACGGTGAACTCTGAGCAACGTACACAGTATTTAAATTTGCTTTACGACAAGCAGCAGCAGTGCAAAGCCAAGCAGGGCAGAGACATGGAGCTGCCCAGCGGCAGTGGAGCGGGAAATGGCAATGGCAGCGGCACGGGCAACGATCTTGTCGACGACGAGGAAGACTATGCCGCCGTCAGCTCCAGCGATGAGAACGAGGAGGCAGCTCTGCTGCGCAAGCACAAGAATTGCTACAACTACAGCGAGACGAATTTCGAGGAGGATGATCCCATGGAGCAGGATCAACTACGGGACATCAAAGTCACCATCCCCGAGCCCATGTGGAAGGAGCGCAAGTGTCCGGCCTGCTTGAAGCGCTTCATGTTCGAGGACTCCCATCAGACGCATCTGGACAACTGTGTCGAGTATCAGTTCATCACATTCGTTACAGAAATGACGAAATTGCTGGAAATTCGCAAGCAGAAAATGGTCTCCCCACACGAATTCATTCGGAGAATGATCTTTGCGCTGCACAAAACCTGCACCTGGCTGCAGGAACATTCCATTGACACGCTGCTGGCGGAGAAACTCAATCAAGTGAAGGTCTCCAATGGTGAGAAGACAGCGGAAGCGACGGCTGTGCCTAGCCAGCCAGAGTTGGAGGTGAAGCTGGAGGACTTGTTCGACTTTACGAGTGGCACAACGACGCCCATTACGGCGGAGAATAATGTTTTGTATGCAATTGCACGCTCGGAGAGCACTAATTCCCAGTGTAAAGCGGAGGTAAGCAATAATTCCCCAAGAGCATCGCTCGCGGGGGTGAAGAAACCCATTCCGATACGTGTTAAGCCCGCAAGTACTTCGATTGGAATGGGCCTGCGACCCTCGCCACAGCAGGGACTACGACCCAGTCCCAATGGGGAAGCTCTTAGCTTGGGTTTGCGGCCACCAGCGCAGCAGCCACAGCAACAGCCATCCAACGGCGACAAGCACAAGGAGCGCGTGACTTTCCTGGAAAAACTGCAGCGTGCGGCAGTCGTCACGCCCGGCTCGGGCACTCCACCCGCCCAGGCAGCCGCTCCGCCAACATTTTCGGCCCGCTGTGGGCAGTGCAATTTACCCTTTGACTCTGTCTCCGATTTGGAGATTCATAATATTAATTATCACAACAGCCAAAACGAGAGCGAGCCCCACACAGACGACGATGCCCAGCGGCGTCGCATAATTGCACTTTTCGAAGATGATTTATAAATAAGTGTGACCCCCCCTTAAGTGTATATCGTGATGTAGTAAGGTAAATATTACAGTTAATTTTTGTTTGTTTTGTTTTATCCAAAGACTTGCCAAGTTCTGTCCTAAGTGTGAGGAATTTTCTTCGGTTTTATTTATTTATTTATCGCTTGACAAATTCTCATTAAATGACCAATAAAGAGACACCCAAGACTCAAATGTAATTTAAGCATAAACTTTGAGTTGTTCCAATAATAAATTGCTATCAACCAGGTTCAGACTTAAATAATTCTTAAGCAAACGCAACAAGTCGCAGTTCAGATTGGCATTCCGCAGCGCAAATAAACGATTTAAAACAGCCAAAAACTGCTCAGGTGCCGCTAAGCAACCCAGCAGCTGGGATTCACCGTTAGCCAAGAGGTTAACCATCACACGCACACCATAGATGGCGCTCCAACTGCTGTCCAAGCTGCCAACAAAAAAGTTAACCAAACTTTCAGCCTGCTGCACGCTTAGCTCCCGCTTTGCGTGGACAATTTCTAATTGAAATAAAATGTACATAAAGTATTCGCTGCCTTGTGCCTCGAGGCTCATCTCCTCTAGATGCTCCACAATGTAGCCGCGATCTAAGTCACTCACTAGGCCGCCGGAGTGCGTGGCAATCAGGCGCAAGCAGGTGCCAGCATCAGTCTGAAACTTATTCAAGTCATCCGGGGGCGCCGTGTAGAGCTTCCACAATTTGGGCACCAGCTGCATTTGCAACAAAGTCTTAGCTGCCTTTGTGCAGGTCTCCAATATGTTGGCCAATGTCCACAGGCAGCTGCGTTTCAGACGCTGCTCCTTGCCATCCAAATATGTGACCAAATAGCTGCCCGCCAGCGCTGCAATTTTCTCCGACACGTGAGCATCGCCCAGGGACAGATTGCAGAAGCATTCGGCGGCATCAATTTGACGCTGTATATTGGCACCTAAAGAGAAAAAAGTACTATAGGAACTCCATTTGGGAACGCTTAGAGGAGCCTCACCACTTAGTTCCTTAACAAGCACCTGCATGGCGCCCGGTATACCGGCGAATGTATTAATATTCTCATTTCCCTGCAGAAAGGCGTGACTCAATCGGTACATATCCTCCGCTGTGGCATGCTTACGCCGCTTGATCCTAGCCGCCAGTCCACTAACATCCTTGGCACTCAGATTTTCCAGTTCGCTTATTTCGTTCCAGATCTGCCCCAAGCCAAAGCGCAGCGCATCTGTTGCACTCGTGCGAAGCACCTGGCGTTGCTCCTTGGCATAGCTGCGGATCTTCAGACGTAGCATGGAATCCTCCGTGCGACTGGGTAGTGGTGGCGAGTTCATTTTTTGTTTGATTTGTTTGTTGAAATTAAAATGCTCTTAAATAAAACAGATCAACAATTAACCCACTCAACCCCCCTCTATTTAAACAGGGGAAAAACTTAAGATTAGCCGGGGAAAATTAAGCTGTTATTAAGTTCTTTCATGGATTCATTCTTCTCTTTAATCGCAAATTATTTATGACCACCATATATTACATCTGAACCTGAGCGTAAATTGATTAAGTTCCTCAAATTCGTGCGTCTTTTTAAATACCCACTGGCCGATATAGGGTTAATCGTTCTCTGTTCATGTCCTGAATTTATATTTCTCGATTTTGATATTCCGCTTAACAATAATAACTAGCTAAGACTCTCAGCGCAAAACGCATAATTTTGTCAGATGGAAGAAATAATATTCTACAAGGCTGACTAATTTTTAGAACTGTATTTTATTGCATTGTTTGTAAAATACGGTACAAACAAAATATGCCAATACACAACATAACCCTAAAACGTAAGTAGGCATGGAATCTTACGTGCATGTCTGTTAGCGCCTAACAGCACAGTAACATTTGTAAGTTGGCGCCAAAGGCTCAATTCAAATTGCACGTTTTAGGTGGCAACATATTTACTCTCATTTAGCTCTGGACTTTTTGGATTTTGTTGCTCTCAACAATAGTCAAAACTATAGTAAAAATTTTAGAACATTTCATGGGGTCTGGAATTTGATCGGACTAAAAATATAATATAATCTCCCGACTTCAGCACTCTTCTGGCTGCCCACTTATCACCATGAGAGGAGTTCAATTACTTCCCATTAGAATACCTAAACACACCAAGAAGGATGCCGAGCTTCACTATTTACTAAATTACAAGAGTTCATGCCCAAGCGGTTTCTTTCTACCTTTTTCACAAGAATTTCTACGTAATCGATTCAGTTTCAGCTGCCCTGTCTCCTGCTGCCCAGTTTTCATTATCTTTTGCCGAGTTATTATTGCCTTGGCATCTTAACAACCTTATCCCAACTCATCTTCTCAGGCTCATCCCCCCACCTGAAGCACTCAAGTGCAACTTTACTTTTAAGTGTGCGAGCGACAAAACTTTATGGAATGGGAGCAGAGCGGAGAAGGCACAGCAAAACTTTCATTCCCTCAGTGTCTACGTGTACTTCGTCCAGAGTGTTTATTATTAAAAAATTTGTTGCCATTTTCTGCCCTTAGGAAACTTTTGGCTTCAGGGTTTATGACCAAATTGCGTGCACACGTGTACAGCAGCAAGAGCAGGGGAGCAGGGAGCAGGAACATCCAGGAGCGAAGGGGTGTGCCTGGCGAGTGCAGCATCTATGACCGAGCGAGAGTTGTTGGAGTGTCGGAGTCCATGAAAGGCGATTAGGGTCAAACTGGCTTTGGTTAGTTGGGCAGAAGGAGCAGAGCCCCAAAAACCACCTGTTGGCTTACCGTTTTGATGGTTCTCTGGCTCTCTCTTTCTGCTTCCTGTAAAGTTTTGTGGCCATAAGTTTCAACGTTTTTCTTGCAGTGTTCCAGCAGATAATTTGCTTCAAATTGAGATACTTTTTGTGGCGGTGGTTTATTTTATTTCAGACTAAACTTCTTTGACTTTCTGGATAAGCGCGAGCAGATCTGGTGTCGCGCGTTATGCAGCAGCGCACCTCGGCTGCTCTGCTCCTTGAGGAGTATTTGTAGACATAAAATCCACCATCATTCTCATTGCAAAGGGCAAGGCTTGGCAGCATCCTTGTTTATTCTGATGTTTATTTCTTCCTTCTCTCTTTTTTTTGTTGTTGCTTTTTTCACATTAATGCAGTTTGACTAACTATAAAGTTACACAGAAACAATTAAGCTTAGCGCTAAAGTTAGACAGAAAGAAGCGTTAGCGCCTGACTGGGTTAAGTTCTTGGCATAGTTTTTGCTGTATGCGTTAGCAGGAAACGAGGGTACTCATAGAGGGATTATTTCTGTAGAGTGAACAGAATACTCATGCGAGAGGAGCAGAAAAAAGCGTCACCGAAATCCCCAAAAAACGAAATTAAACTAATAAATAACACAAGAGTCAACGTAGAGCTAAGCGAAGGCAGTGTTAAGACTTAAGTACTAAACATAATCATTGTCCAAGTTTGAAGATCGTTGAGGTCGTTGGTCGTTGCCCGTTGGCTGCATTTTGAGTTCAGTTTGAAGTGTTGTTTTATTGTGGTTTTGGATTGGTTTACCAGGCCTTATTGCGGCTGTTGCTGAGGCGTTCGGCGCTGCCAGAGCGCAGTTCCTCGCTTTCACGACGCAGCAGCAGATCCTCCCGACGAGTGTCCTCTCGGCGGCTCTCCTCACGTCGGTTCTCCTCACGTCGGTTCTCCTCCCGTCGGTTCTCCTCTCGTCGGTTCTCCTCTCGGCGATTCTCCTCTCGACGATTATCCTCCCGACGACTGTCCTCATCAAGTCTGTCCAGCTGCCAGAGATCATTGTTCAGCAGGCGGCGACCATTGGACCAGCTCAAACCAGTACGAGACCCATGCCCATTGATGCGAGTGGTGAGCAATCCATTGAGATTCGAGTCCAGCAGCAGGGGCGATCCACTAATCAACTGCGCCTGCACAGAGGCACTGGCGGGTTGGGCGAGTATCAGCTGAGGCTGCGAAGTGCGTTCGATGGTGAGGCGTGCGCTGGGCAACTGTCGCCAGGCATCCAAATCGCGATCACGAGTCAGCAAGGTGGTGCGGGACGAGGACGATGTGGACGACGATGAGGAAGGCAGCCGGGAGAGCAGTGTGGGTGGATGCGACACGACGGTGGCCTGGACACTCTGTCCGAGCAGTTGGCTGGCACTGGGCAGGCTCTGGGTGAGGAGCAGCGTCTGCTGATCGCTGCTGAGACGCTCGAGTAGTCGCTGGCTCTGACGACGCTCCTGTTGCTGACGACGCTCCTGATCACGTTCACGCTGCTCGCGATCCCTGAGCTCACGCTCCCTCAAGTCTCGTTCCCGTTGCTCTCGCTCTCGCTGCTCCTGTTCTCGCTGCTCGCGTTCTCGCTGCTCCTGCAGACGCTGAAGATCGCGCAGCTGTTGCTCCTGCTGCAGTCGCTGCTGTTCCTGCTGCTGACGGAGTTGTGCCGTTTGCTGTACCTGCTGCTGGAACTGCTCCATCAACTGCTGTGCCTGTACACGCGCCTGGCTCTCAGACTCGCGGCGACTCTGTGCCTCCAGCTGCAGTTGGCTGGCCTGTTGGGCCTCTGCCAGACTCTGGGCATCGGCAATCGCTTGGGCGGTCAGACGGGACTGCAGCTCCTCGATGCTGCTGTAACGTGACGAGGAGGAGGACGAGCTGCTGATTCGCTGCTGCTGCTCATCCACTCGCTGATTCGAGACAATGGCATTGAAGCCGCTGGCATCATCGGCCGTGTACTCAACAATGCGTCGCGTGCCATCGGGCTCGATCAGCGAGTACTGTCCCTTGACCAGATCTCCATCTCGCTTCTCCTCCTGCCGCTTATCATCGCCGGTCAACGTGTCGCGCACATCGTAGGCGAAACTGTACTGCGGACGTGTGTCATAATCCTCGCTGGAGTTGGGTGTAGTTGTCGTGGCATCATCATCATCGTCCTCATTGTTACCACCAACGTTCCCATTCAGATCTCCACGTAGCAGCTGCTGCTGTTGTTGCTGTAGACTGGCAGAGGATGAGGATTTGCTCAGCTGATTCAGTGCCTCCAGATTACGCAGATACGAGGAATTTGCCACATTGCAGGTCAGCAGGCTCAGGCAGAGCAACAAGTAGGTCTGAAAGTGGATAAATTAATGTTATTTTTTGTGGCATACTCGACATAAATCATTCGCTGACAGCATCAATTGGCTATTGAATTTTTCCGGCAATGCCTTTTAGCTTTATTTAGCCATAAATTTGTCATGTCCAAAAAAGGTTTTGTGTGGGTTTTTTTCTTGCTGGATGCTTGCTTTTCGTTACATTTTATAGGGCAAACTTTTGGCTACAAAATAACTCTTTTCCGTAGCTAAATTCTCGTAATATTTTCATCCACTTTTGCAGCGCATTTGCACTTCTTTTTGCTGCCAAAACTTTGCCAGTCTGCTGGCTCTCGACACATTCTAAATTTGCCTTAATACGCTGTTGGCTTTTAACGTTTTGTATTTTTGATTATCCTGATTTATGTGGCACCTCCTTTCGGCAATAATTTATGGCCTAATGCGAAAACTTACCCGTTTCATGGCGTTTCTGCTGACGTTTAATATGCGATTAGTTTGGGTTTGTCCGCTGTTTAGTTGCTTTGGTAATTTGTTTAGCTGCTGCTTCTGGCCTGCTGGCTGGTTTCGCTGTGTACAACTGATGGGCAGTCCATCGGCCATCGCTCATTTTATATCGTCTGCAGGAAACAACAAACTGATATGCGGCAGCCAGCTTTCAAATTTGTTTAGTTAGGGTTACAAATGACCTTCCCAGCAGAAAACAGATACTCAGCCGGAGTCTGCCTGGCATTCACTTTTCGAAACTGCAGAAAAATTGTCACCCACTGGCACCCTTAACCGAGCAATGGTAGGGGAAATGTATAGGTACAACTCGAGTAGGAAGTTATCAAGAGAGGTAAAAGCTGCTTATGAAAATGGTAGACAGGAAATTGGAAATTGGTTTTTGGGCCTGACCGAATCCCCCATTTGTTGGTCTCATGCATTTGAAATTTTTCGCAACTGCAGCTCCAGTTGCAGCAGCAGCAAAACGGTCAGTCAAGCGGCATGCAGGTTGACCACTCCATGGACACTAGGGAAATATGATATGTGGTTGCTCGATGGGCGGCAGGCTGGAACGGTAACTTTTAATGGACTGACTAGCAGATTGTAACCAGAGCACGCTTTATCGATTAGTTTTGAGATTCATTATACGACAGGTTTTTTTTATCATTGTTACGTTAGAGGCCAGCATTTGTTCGTTGCATCGCTCTCTCTCTCTCTCTCTCTCTGCCACTGTCTCTCTGTGGGGACTAACGGAAGATTGATTAAATGAAATACGCACTGGCATGGGATAGGTAAAGGTTATGGTGGAGGGAAACAATTGTAAGGCTTCGAATTTTGAATATTTTTCAGGGAACTTTGATAGTTGAGAGTCACAGGACAGGAAATCATTTCTCCCCTTGCCGCTACAGAAGTTTGTGTTCAGATTTGTGCTGCCAACTGCACCCACATGTAATATTTAATTTATTTCCTTGACACATTTGAAACTGGCCAACAAAAATAATTTACACATTTAGGCACAACCCATGGCGATCTTTAATCCCTTTTCAACGGAACAGCCTGAACCCAACCGTAAAATCCCTCGCCCCACCCCCTCCACATGTGTGAGAGATTTATGAATAGAGCAACGCCAAACTGGGTTTAAGGATGTGACACTGTCCTGACTCGCAAAAGCGAGGCGTACAAACTTTATCAGCTGTGAAAACAAAAGGCAACAACAGCGAGGAAAACAACGGGCAAACACCATTGTGTTAGCCGCGTGTACCCGTAAAAACAAGTAAAATTCATCTAAAGAGCGAGGGGCTAGAACAAAGGCAAGAGCAAAAATAACAAGGCAAGAAGCAGAGGCGCAATGAAAAGCAAAACAAAACCGTTGGAAGGTGTGAGTGTGGGCTGCGTTGTACCCTGTACTCAGACTTGTGTTGTGCACTGCTAGATAATCGCATGTTAAAAGCTTTCAACAATTTGTAAAAACATGTGGGAAAGTAACTTCATATAAACAAGTAAACATAATAATTATAATTGCACATGCAAAACTTTTATATATGCAGTGCCTGTTCCGTTGTTTAGGGTGCCAAAACTCCTTCTAGCAGGTAAGAGGTAGCGCTCGCGGGTGGCGATCGCAGGTACCGCAAGCGAGAGCAAATCTGCTCTCTTTTTAGGGTTCCTCCTTTGTTGTTGTTGTTGTTGTCTGCCTGCAAGCTTGCGCTTGGCTCTCTTGCTTATTAGAAAATCTACCTGCGGCGAGTCGAGCCTCCCTAAAGCTGAGAGAGTCAATTGGGCGCTCTCTCAATTCCAACCAGACTTATGCATAGTGATGGTAGTTAAGCTAGTGATGGCACTATTGGTGCTTAAGCCTGCCTTATGTCTAATACAAATCTACCCTCCTTGCACTTTACAGGCGTACAGGGTACGTCATGAAAACTAGCTGCAGAGAGAAAAATTGTCATGCATGACTGAAATACAAGAAGAGACGAGGCCGAAAGAAGAAGGCCCAAGAGCAGCAAAAAAAAAAGCCCACCAGCATTCACATCCGCACCCACGGGCCGGGCCGAGCTGAGCCGAGCTATTCTGTTATTCATGCCGTGAAGCATAGTTTTAGGCGCCACACCGCATCTCTCATTCGGGTGTCCGTCTGCATGGGCGATACGGTAACATGTGTAACTCCCCCGCCAACCACATTGTTGGACACTTTTCCCTGCCCCAATTCGCCGGCTGTGTGTGTTTGTCTTTGATACGCGTTTCCGCTTGTTTCTCCCCTTGCTGGATTTGGTATGAGCTGTGTGGAAAACCAGAGCAAAATTGAATGGCCAGCAGCATGGCTGGGCATCAGGCGCGGCACTTTTGTAATTGAGTTGGCTGTCCAGAATGGGAAAATAGTCCTGACAATTCCGACATGCACTGCAATGCAGAGTAGTACATGGTGAAAATCCCCACGCTCCAGCTTGGGCCATTTTCCCGAGCAAATTAATCATTTTTCGCAACATGTTTTGTAGAACCATTTCCCTGCCACTGCCAGGGTTCATTACTCGCAAATAATCAATTTCAATTGCCAATTGCAATTACAATTAAGTTGCTTGTGTTTGTCCTAGTGGAGTTTTTTTTTAATTATTTGAAAATGCTAAAAAAAGGGAGTATGTGGATTTCCTGAATAAATTAGCGATATTTGAAATTAATTGTATCACTTTTTTTTCAATTCGTTCCGTTCCTTTTGCCATTTCTTCTGGAGCGTTTATTATAAAGATGTCACATATTTCAGATATAGTTTCGAATCAGGAATGAGGCATAATCAGTGGCAACATTTATACAACATTCCCGAACAAAGCATCCCAAATCAGAGCATAAATATTCTATATCGAAAGTGTATTTTGACTCTTACATGTTAGACCCTTAATTAATTTATTTGTTTTTCCTCAGAGTTTGTTTTAAATGCAATTATAAGCACACTCTTAAATAAATGCAATTTAAATGCATTGAAAGAGAAAATAAAATGTAAAAACATATGCAAATGTATGTACACGTATGTATGTATGTATGTATATATGTAAAATTTATGTATGCAATATATCAGTAAAAAATCTAATCAATGTCATTGATAAGCCTATTCTCGAATTGATTGCCGGCATATTTCACCCTCTATTAAAAATGCAGCATGGCAAAATAGTTTGATTTTTGTTGATTGCTGTGGAATTGTTGTATTGCTGCAACACAAAAAAAAAGATTCGAAATTGTTATTTCATGGTTGGGCATCTCCATTTCCATTCTGCATGCCGCTGGGCATTGCTGCAACCGAAAATTCCATTATGTTCTGGTCAAAAGTGGAAGCAATCCAATCTGCGGCTGAGGCTGCCAGCCGGATGGATGGTTCCTCTATGTCACCAAATGCCAAGAGGCCGTGCCCGAACCAGAGCCAGAGCCCATCACACTGATTGAGTGGAAGTGCGAGTGCGGATCGCTTGGGGATTTTTAGAGAGGCAACTTTTGGCCTGGCTGAGAGTGTTTCAATTTATTTTTCATATTTTTGTTTAAGCGCTTTTTGTTTTACTTTCCTATTGCTGCATTCGGCAGAGGACGAAATTCCCCCGGTTCGCACACACACACACAGCAGCAGCATCAGCAGAATGCCAAAAGTTAAAATAAACAGCAATAGACAGCAGAAAACGCAGGAGCTAACGGGACAACAAGCAGGAAGGCAGGAAACACTTGAAAAAAGTATGCCAACAATATTTCTGCCATCTCGCTGGAGCTCCCTCCCTCTCTCTCGCCTATCTATCTATCTATCTACCGCTGTGTGCTTTTGTGCTATTGAAAAGGAAATGAATGGCAGGCAAAAAAAGTTAAATCACCTCCAGCAATTGGGCTACGGCTGTGGCTCTGTGGGAATGCGAATGGAATGGGCATTGGAATGGGTAATGGTGGGGTAGCACACCAGCTACCAGCTACCAGCTACTGGCTCTATGGCTCCCTGGGGTGGTGTATGCGCAATATTCGCGCATCGGCCACTAAGCTGCGTCCTGAGCCCTGGAATTTGTCGCATTTTCTTGTTTTACACTTACAAAGAGTATAATGACTTGGGGTAGAGATTTGGGAAGCAATAAAGAAAGAATAAAGGGATATTAACACACCACTGTAAGCAGACTGTTACTGCTCTCCCGTTTACAGCGCTCTGTTAGCGCTCTTTGACACCGCGCTGAGCGGGATCGCGTTTGCTCTTACGATCCACTTGGCACACGTGCAGCTTCAACCCCCGTTCTAACCGACCGTGAATCTGTATAAGACAGAAGGAGATAGAATACTTTCTTTTCGCTCTGCTTCCTTACACTTTTTTGACTTGGGCTTCATTGAACTCTGGACTTCGGACGCTCTCCCACAATCACTCTCAGTTTGCATGGAATAATCGCCATGCAGCGTATCAACTCTTCGACTATTTGCATCTCACCTTTCCTTGTCTTATGTTTTTGCTTGATTTTATTTTGCGTTTCGTTTTTTGTTTTTCGATTTTCTATTTGCTGTGGGAAATTGCTTTCAATAATGACGGAAAAGTGTTGTGCTGTTGGGACATGGGTTTAATGGCTGCTGCTGCGGCCCGGCACGGCACTTGTCGCCTGTGGAAGTTGTTCGTATTATTCCACGCCACTCTTCAGGCAATTTGAATGCACTCATCGTTGTGTTCGGAGTGCATCAATAAATTGCCACGTAGCGGTGCGAATCCGGGCGTGTCCTTGGCCACAGCTCTGCCACGCCTCACACACACAAGCAAACACATGCAATCATATGCATGTCCGGCAGCGCCTTCCTGCCTTCCCGGTTACTTATGCAGTCCGTTGTGTTCGCATTGCACTTTTCAGGCGTGCAACGCCAGCGGCAGGCAGGCTCATCGTCATTTGCATTTGGTCAGCGGAGAGCGGAGAGCGGAGAGCGGGGAGAGCGAACAGGGAACAGTGGACAGGAAAGAGCGGAGAGCGAACAGTGAGCTGCAGACAGGGAACAGTGGAAATGGGACACCGGACACGGGACACTGAACAGCGGACTGACAGAGTGCTCCGTCTGCCGAGCTGTGGAATATATTAATATATTTCGCATTTCCACGGCAGCACACAACCTTAA